ACTCAGGTGTAACCAAGGATGAAAATGACAACATATTGAGTAAAGAACAAGTTCAATATCTGCCAATTGTTCTTAAAAACACAAGCAATGTGATCCATAGGCTGTTACCAAAACAGTGATTTAGGACAGGGGCAATACCCATTGACTGGATAACAGTCCACTTATCATTGGATAAGTCTGTTATTGCAAAGAAAACAGAAAATATAGATAACGGATTTATACATTTACATTTAACCATCTGGCAGATACTTTAATGCATAAAAACTATTGCAACGAGTGCATCTAACAGACAGTACTCAAGACCGGGCTGTGGGATGACATCTTTTGTGGATCTGTGTTCAGACCACCTATAGTAAGTTAGACTATCTAGTCTAGTTGGAGAAGATAGAAATATCACCACATTCGGCTGAATCTGCAAAATAACTTTGAAATGATTAACAAAACACTTAAAACCAGGCAAGCACCCAACAGTTGCAATTAAATGCAGATAAACATAGCAGCAGGAATGCAAAGATGTCAACTCATTATTTTACCCCTCTGCGCAATATGGGGAAAAAGTCCAAAGGGAGACTAAATATCAGGACCTGTAGTTACAATTGTAGGCTTTGAATAAAGGTGTGCTATGGAATATTGTGTCACAAAAAACATGACTATTTTATAAACAATCGGGTAGCCAGGAAGATGTTTGGCACACAACAACTACAGCTTACAGACAATTACATGAAACAAATAGTCCAGAAGGCCAATAGAATCATTGGCTGTCAAGGTGGCCACCCCTTGCACTGGAAATTTGAGCTTCTTCATCTGGGAGAAGAAATCATCATTGATTTATACTACCTAGATGTCTTTTTACCTGCCTGCAAAGCAAGGTAAAAAGTAAAGTAACTTATCAATGTTGAGAACCATTTTCTTTCCCTTTAAAAGTAGATGTTACTCCGACGGACTAAAACATGCCTTCTTTCAGTCTTGATCAGAGAAGACTGGGGCTGACTGATGAAAGTGATTGATTCAATAAGTAAAAATCCTTAAAGGCATTGACAAAAGTTGGTCCTGTAAAGTTCTTCAGAATCACCATTGAAACATGAACCAGAGGACACAAGAGTTAACAAAGAGGAGGTGCTATTAAAGCTGAGATCAGGACTGCAACATGATACCCAGTCATATTATTGAAGCCAGTAACACGTCTGAGATCCCTGAACCAATTAGCTACTGGCAACCAGACAAATGCGAGCAGTAACCTCATCTGTTTTTTATTCTTTTTTTATATTCCCATGTAAGCATCACTTCTTCGGATTTAATAAAAACACATCCTCTCTGTGCTGCCGAGTCATGCACGTTGTTCCAAAATGGAATAAAATAACAAATGGAATATTGTGAACAACAAGCTGCTGGTAATTGTATATAAAGGGGGCAATCAAAGATCTCTCCTTCTAAAGATTATTATAATCTTATTGAAAATAAGGTTCACACTTGAAAGTGTTTAGAGATCATATAGTATAAATACTTTTTAAATAATTGTTAAATGCTGTCTTTGAAAAAACTGGAATAACTAGATGGCTTTGAAGGTTTGGTGCAAACTTCTGTCAGATTTTCTTAGAAGTTCCAAAGAAAGTGTAAGGGCAACAGAGAGGAAGGACAGCCTGGCCAGGGGAACTCTGACAATTCCACGGCCAGCAATACACCCTGAAACAAAGCTGAGGATGGATTCATATCTACAAGTTTTAAGAGTCCCCCCCCCCATAAAACTAGGTGCTGGGATGTGGGAAAAATAAGACGCAGAGTCAATTAACAGGTGTAACTTCACTGCTGTAACGAGGGACTACAGAGCTTAAATTTAAATGCCAAAACAAACCCCTTCGGCAGAAAACGGAAGGTTTAAAGCAGAGATAACTACTAATTCAGACTGGAGAAAAAACGATCCTAAGCATTTACTTTTCTGTAATGTTATGTGCATTTCCGTGTAACTCTGGGAATTACGTTTAGGGCCTAATTTGGATTTTATACATCGAACGCCAATAAACATGTTTAAGAAAGGAAAAAATAGCGTTTCTTTCGGGGATATATGTGCATAATTCAACAAGAAAATGATCTTGCGACATTCGTCAATTCCAGTCTTGAACTGTTAACCAGACTGCAACCTCCTCACGTGATTGATGACAGCAAACCGGTCATGTGATCTTGTCACATGCCACGTGACGTAGTGAAGTCTATCAGCTGAAAGACAGCAGGTAAGAGAAGCTGATTATTTTTTTTCTTATAAGATAGATTTTTTTTCGCACTTAATTTACATTTTGCTTGGCAGCTAACAGAATTATAATATTAACAAAGTAATGGAGTCATTTGGAATCTAATATGTGAGAAACACAGACAAACCCAATTTTACAAGGCCTCGGAATGAAGAAGCATTTATGAAACAGACGTAAACATGCAGCTTTTTAAATTATAAGGTCATTGGGCCGGTGCTGTTAATACAGATGCAGGGTATTTAAAATTGTTATGAATTTCGCACAAACTGGTGGTGGTTTTAATGCACGTTTAGATCCCGGTCATTTTATTTCTGTTGGATTTATGTTTCTGAAGAGAAATCTTGCGAAATGTAGCGGATATTCTTGTTATAGTTTTACTTCTCTAAATGACATTCTTTCTTTGAAATAATTCCAATGACTGTGTTCCGTGTATCCGAACAGCGGTTGCTGTGTAATTTATAAACGATCGTTTAAACTTCCTTTATATTCCTAGGTTGATTTGAATGATGAAGCAAGCAAATATGACTTTTTCCTAACCTGATACCCCTTGGCTCTGTTTGGGGCGTGTGATATAAACAGACAAGGTTAAACCTGCTGAATCTGATGAAAGTTAGTGCTTCTGTAACTTCCCGCTTGTATAAGCCTCTTTTTATCCCAAAAAACTACTGGGTGCTGATCTTCACGCACGCTTGTATTCGCAATGTTTCAATCAATTTTAATTTACTGTTCTAAACTTCATTCAAATAAAGAGCCATATCGACTCAAAATGGGGTTGAAACATTTTGGTGTTTTAGAAAAACAGTCATTTACTTTGGGGGAACATTCTGTTAGGCCTTGTGATCTTCGTAGGGATATTTTCACATATTTTGTCCCCACATTGATGGTATTGTTTACACACACACAGACACTGCAACTGTATATGTGCAGGAATGTTAAACATTGTGTGAAAAATAGTTATTAAAAAAGAGTGAATTGGAAAAAGCAATAGAAATTAAAAAATTGTGAAAAATTATCACAGTCGCACATATTCTGGGTATCGTATCTCACAAAGCTGTGCAGTATTGTCTTCTTTTGCTTGTTGTGTATTTATATCGGTATCCGATTTTTCTCTAACTTTCTTTCCATAACATTTACACGCTGTTAAGGTCAAAGTTGTATCAAGGCCCAAGAGTATAATTTATTTGGAGTTGATACAAATCTGGCTTTTTGCTGTTTTTGCAAATATTTAGGGTTTAGTGGACACGCAAGGTGTTTCCTTGTCTGAACAAAGACTTTGAAACTGCAACTACCCAGTTTATACCACCTTCTTGGGTGACTTCTGTGTTTATAGTTTCCTTTTGTGTGGCATTATGTTTAATTTGGAACTGAAATGAGTATTAAATTTAGAAAAGAGTTAGTGAATGTGTAGTCTTTCACAGTCTCTTTTTGCTGTTGTCACCTGTATGCCAAGGTTATAAACCTGTACATTGTCCATGTCTATTGTATATCTGTTGGTTATAATCCAATCCATTATGTAAAACCTTGACGTTTCTTGTGTTCCTCGCCACAAAGTATATTTTTGTGAATTATTATTTTTTACCATATATAACACACAGTAGCAGTGAACATTGAATTGTGCCCTTCTTTGCTCTTCCTTCTGTTCCCTTTCATTTCACCATTTGAAAGTCCTTGAAATCAGCAGCTGGCTTGATCTTGATATTGACATGGCTTTCTTGTCTGAACTGCCCTAGATCATGTTCTGAAAGTTGACCACAGGTTTCTAATTTAGCTGAGAATATACACTGTTGTAAAGGGCTTTGGATTAATTGAAGTAGCCAAGGCACAGTTTATGTTAACTACATCTATTGGTTTGTTTCTTTTCTTTTTATTATTTAATGTAGCATTTTTTCCCCACATTTTACCTAAGTAGATATTCAATAAGATGTAAGAAAACCCTCATAATTTTGACTACAAGTGTTACAAGGCTGTGTTGTAGCTGTGGTAACCCAGAACAGAGTAAGTCCCAAATCATCATACTACCCTGCCATGGTTTGATCTTTTTAAATGGTTTGTCTTTCAGGTAGAACGCAATAGGTGACTATTCAAATTTCGTGTGTGTATGCATTTATATATATATTGCACGCTTGGAATGATTGATCTTTTTGTTTGTTTAATCGTTTAGATTTTAATTCAAAGAAGAGAAGCGGGAACATACACAAAATGGATATCAGAGGGGCTGTTGATGCTGCTGTTCCTACCAATATCATTGCAGCGAAAGCAGCAGAAGTCCGGGCAAACAAAGTTAACTGGCAGTCATACCTTCAGTAAGTATATGGCAATTTAGACCCAGTGTTTTAAGATTGAATGCTTAAATCTATTGCTTTAACCTTACAGCATATTATTATGGTTTTTTTGGTTATGGATGCATTAAGTTACGGCACCGTGTAGTTTATTTTGTGCCCGACATCCGTCAGCTCTGGCATTTGATTTTGCTGGCTGTCCTTGCCCTTTGTTGCTGGGTAAAGGTTTTTACTGTGACGGTCCTGTACTCCCAGTTGTACTGTGTATTAGAAAGGCTCTCCTGCAGGAATTGGCCTAGCGAGATCTTTTGGTCTGATGGAGATTTTCTTGTTAGATGTTACAAGTGGGCGTGAAACCCCCCCCCCAAAAAAAAAGTTTGTCCTTTTTTGATAATGCATGTAATGCACCCTTCTATATAGCAATAAAACATGACAAATGAGTAAGAATACAAAGAAGTAGGTGGGGTTCATTGTTGTAATTTATTTGTGATTTGTGGCTTTGTATAGTTGTAAATCAAGATGTTATTACAAAATATAGCATTTTCTTTCTTTCTTTTATACTGGATTTGATTTTCCATTCAGAACTTTAGCTTTAGTGCCAGCAGCTCCGATCTGGCTGACAGTGACTTTAAGACATTAAAATTAAATCCAAA